TCAAAGAGCTGTGACCTGCTGGAAGCTGAGTGGGTTAAGTTGGATGCATTTTGATAGATCTAAGATTGTGTTTAAGGATTGGTGGGTGGACATATGCACTGGAAGGACAGAGAAGTATATTGAGGATAGAGTTAATCTCTCAACCTACCTGCTTTGGTGGTTGTGGAGAACAAGAAATAGTTGGATATTTGAAAATAAGAGAGTTTCTGAGAAGGATATTGTTGATGGGGCAAGGAGGGAATGGAGTGAATTTGAGAATTCCTCAATGGAAATGTTGACAAGGTCACACAGAGCTGCTGGTGATCATTTGGGTATTTTGAATGTATCAGATAGAGGGGTAGGACAGTTTCTCCTAACTGTCAGTGCTTGCCTGCTACCTGATGAAGCTGTTGCATTTGGTGGTGTAGTGGAGACTGAAGGAAGAATACTCTACAGTTGGCAAGAATGCAATGAAAGAGCTGGAGACAGTATTGAAGCTACTCTAAGGGCTGTAAGATGGGGACTGAAGCTGCTACATGAATCTGGCTGTTCCTCCTCCATTTGCTGCAGAGTGGACTCATTTCAGATTGCTCAGATTTTAAATCAGGAGGCTGAAGCACAATGGAGAGTTCTTACTATTGTGGAAGATATAAAAAATGCTACACAAAATTTCACCATTTGTAATTTTTTCTTTGATAAGTTTGCTTGTATTTCTTCATTAGACTTGGCCTTGAAGGCTTGTAAGAGGACCTAATGCAGGTTTCTCGTAGCTAATGGTTAGTCCATTTGTGTGGGTTACTATTGTGCTTGTGCTCATTTGAGTGCTCGATGTACTGACTTTGTTCCCGAGTTTTATATTATGGCTTGTTTATTGTTGGAAAAAAAAAAAAAGAAATGGAGTTTTACATCAATACGTGTCTTGTTTTTGTTCCACTATTAATTTGTTTGTGTGTGCAGTGTGTGGACATCAAGAACACTCTCATTTATCACTATTTATTATAGGAGATGGAAAAGAAATATTAGTAAAATCCTTAAAAGTCTTTTAGAATCTTCAAGGAATACACCCCATTAATTTCTTACCTTTAGGTGTCTTTCATGTATGTGTCCTCCATTCCCTCTCTATGTCTTATCCACATTTCTCCATATTCCTTTCCTTTTCATATTATCCTTCTCTGTTTTCACGCACCACTCCCTCTCTCTTTCTTATCCACAATCCTCTTCCTTTTCCTTTTCTTTCCATATCTTCCTTTTTTCCAGAAATTTCAGGCGGCAATACTTTCTCAAGAAGCTCATCATAATCACTTGGAAATGGGACATCAAACTCTACAACATCAACTTTAATGATAAACCAGAGGGTTTCTTATTAATCTTCTAATTTTTATTTTTCCACAAACTTTATTCTTCTTTTGCTCAACGCAAAAGCATACACAATTACGGACCTGTAGGCTGTAGTCTATATTTATTCACTTCGCCCTACTACTCGCCAATTAATTTCGTCTCACTGCAAAAACCAAACAAACCCCAAGAAAAAGGAAGAAAAATAAAGAAACCCCATCTCTATTTTAGCTTCACTTCTAGTTCAAAACACACCGTGTGCCCTCATTCGAGAAATTTTAGTGGAGCCCGAGGAGAATAAAAGAGAAGAACTTCCCAAAGTTTAGGAATGAAGAATTATTTCAAAAATAACAATTTGTAACATTTGGACTTCTGATACGGAGGAAGTTTATATATATATATACATATATATATATATATATATATATATATATAATTATTTAATAAAACATTTAATAAAATTTATTTTTATTTCTCTTCAAAACGGAGTTACATGTTTTTTAATTAATTACTTACTAATCTGCTAAAATTGTTACACCTTAATATATATAGTTTTATTATTTACTTTTTGGATCAGTTACTAAATTAATTCTAAATTTGGTAGCAAAATATTCAAATGTGTAACGGCTAATGTTGAAACTTAAAGTTGATTGGCACATTCAGAGCTCTATATTTGGTTGATTGACACATTTTTTTTTCTAAAAATCAGAAACACCAATATTTTTTTTATTTATGTTAATTTTCTTAATATATGTCACAAATATATAAATTATTTTATTCATGTTACTAACGTAAACGTTGCATGGTTAAAGTAAAATTTAAATCTCAATTAATTTTGAATGATAAAAATAACTTAAGAAAAAGTAATAATTTTTATATGATAGAAGTACATGTCAAATTAATAAATACAAACTAAAACGTGTTTTATATCTATGCAAATGCACAAGATCAAATACTAGTGAAGAATTATTTCAAAAATAACGATTTGTAACATTTGGATTTCTGATACGGAGGATTATCTCTAAGATGCAATCATAGAGCATACTCTCGTCATATTACAAATCAAGCTATAGATGATAGAGGCTAGTATTGATAACATGCTATAAAACTAGAGAAAAAGAAATGGAATAGAGAGAATGTATTCTTGTATGATGTTATAAAACTAGAGGGATATACAAATAATAGAGAGGATGTATTCTCTTGTTATAATTTTCATTATAACTGAAACTCTTATTTATGGAAAACCTTTTAATGACACAATCATAATAATACAATTATATTGATGGCAAAATAGTATTCACATATATAGATATTTCATAACAAGAAGACCATATACTAAAGATAAATTATAGAATACAAATGCAAGTTAATTATCTCTTGCTTTTGTGTATATTTATAAAACAATAAATCTAGTATTTAAA